TCTGCCATCCAGACATCCACCAGCCCGGCCAGTATCATTCTGCAAGGACTTCTCTGGACTCCAGACTTTGCTTCTCCATTAAATATTCTCAAGAACTCTAGAGGACATTTATTTGTTATGAAATGTTCTTACACAATGAATATTCCTGACTTTCCAATAACCCTACGGTGACAGTGAAAATTAGGGAAAAAAAAAAAAAAATGGAGCCCTTTTTAAAAGTAAAATCTCCTTTTGAAACAGAGGATGGAAAAAAGAGAAGTCACACTGTTTTCCAAATATTGCAATGTTTGCACAGCTATGAGTTCACTGCAGTCGATCCTCACCACCACGTCTGCATATCTACTCAGAGTCAAAAAGAAACGACTCTGAAGGAAGCGTATGTGCCAGCTAGAGCCAAAGGTGCAGGCAGAGGGGAGAGAGAAGGAGCTCAAGCCAAAGCCTGAAGGAAGTGAAATGGAATACGGAGGACCTTTGGAACAAGCAATTGGAGGGAGCTGAACAGGAAAAAGTGAGAAGAGAAGCCAAAAGAGGAGACTTTGACAGAAGCATTCAACAGCACTGAAAGCAGTGATGGGGTCACGGTTACAAGGGAGATCTGCAGAGAACACGCTCAGTGCAAGAGGCAAACTCAGCCTTAGCCTCTGTACCACAGCCCGAGATCTGCTCCTCTCAATGCTCACTTTCCCAGCACTGCTCAGCTCATAACTGTTCTAACAGTGCAGTGAAAGGCAGTGGAAAAATATCAACTCTCGGGTAACAGATCTGCTTGTTAGGGGGTTCTGATTGGAACAATGTATCCCCATGAACTGAAACACTGACAGAGAAAGGATGCAAGAGTCCCAGATGACATGCATGCCACCACAAGAGCTGAAATGCTCAGTTTCACACTAGCTGAAACTGTACAGCGAGGAGCTCCATAGCTCTATTAAAAGAATTCCAATGGCTCGGACAGAACTGATGCAGCTGCACAAGTTGTGATACCCACACAGCACAAAGCTCTGTTGACTTAAGCACCAGCATGCAAAAAGCCTTCCCAAAGCCTAACAAATAACATAACTTGCACATTTACACATAGGAACAACAAGCGTAGTTCAAAATTGTCTTTCTTAAGTCAATGGAGACCAAACCAACTATTGCCAAGTCTAAAAAGACAATCCATGCAACTTGCAACTCACAAAGGCTTCCTAACCACCAAATTTTAATGCACAATTTCAAGTTCTTAAATACTTGCACGTGGCATTAGAAGAAAAAAAGGAACAGGTGTTTTTCCAACCTGGAACGTGAACATCTACACTTATTAGCTCATGAAGCATCCTTTATAATCTACAGAAAACTTCTACTGGAAAATCAATAAAGGGCACTTCCAAAATGAATACGCTGAGGAACAGCCTCAAGGAAAAGGCTTAGCAGCCAAACAATTACACCATATACTGCAGTCTCTTTGGAAGAGTTGTTTACCACCTGCTGCAGCTCCCACCAGGCCTGGCAGACTGCTGATTTTGACATGCTGGAGATGGGAATCACGGTGGCATCACCAACAACCAGCTAACAGAAAGCAATAGTTTCAGCCCACCATTAACACGACCTCCTGGTTTCTTCCATGCTGAAGACAAACCTGAGGTTACCCTCAGCTACAGACATCACCATTCTACCAGAATCCGGCCCTGAAATTCAGGCTGCCAGTTGCATCAGTCTCTTGGGCAACAGTTCAAAGCTAAGTATGTCAAGAAAGTCACAGTCAGTCAATTGGAAAAGCCTTTTAAAAAAATCCCAGTCTCCATGTAAAATAGTTGAAGACTATTATACCAGGCATTGGTATCACAGAATCACAGAATGGCCAGGGTTGGAAGGGACCTCAAGGATCATGAATCTCCAACCCCCCTGCCACATGCAGGGCCACCAACCTCCACGTTTAATGCTAAACCAGGCTGCCCAGGGCCCCATCATCTCTAAGTTTACAAGCAGATAAGCAAAAGAACAGTAACTTTATCAGCACAACTGTGCTGAGTGTGCCCCCCGATCACCTGCCATCACAGGGAAAATTTGCTCAATAACCAAGGGCACAGAATCAGATTCACCCCAACATTGCCTTAACCAAGCTGTGTGATCAGGTTCACATCTCCACAGCCACCACGTTAGTACAGCATCAGTTCAATCCCTAGAACTGCCCAGTTGTTTTACATTTCCTACAGAATGTGACACTCTTTCTCAGCGGCAAGGAATTCTTTTGGACAACTGTATTTATTTTTACAAAGTATTTTCTTATATTGCCCACAAAACTATTTCTAGTGAAGTGTCTGCTCTTAGTTTATGGGACAGCAACTCTGTTCAGACTGCACCATTTGCAAGCATGTTCGCTCTGCCTTCTCAACTCCTTCAAACACCAACAAGCACTCTATGAGAACTCTTAATCCTGTAGATTATTTTGTTGAAATACAACTAAATAACAATTTTAATTAGCTTTAACAATGACCAAAGTCTGCGACCCCACCTTATAACCCTTCTCCCACAGTACACAGTTCTCAACCTTTCTGGTAGGCTCTGATGGGTTCCATCCATCTTCTTTAGATAAAACCATCTTTCCCCTCAGTACAACATCTCTCAAACTAGATTCAAAGCTCAGGCAGTCATCACTGTACCATTCTGACAGAACTGCTTTCATTTGGAAGAATTACTTCACGCCATCATAACTTTATTTTAACTGAAAATTGCAGCGTGTGCTCCCAGATCGTATTTTGGTTTTGCTCTGTCTTTTAAATGATGTCATTTCGAGCAGACAATTCTTTATCACAGAGTCAGAAAGGTAACGTCAGCACCAGAACAAAGCATATGGAAGTTTTAAAGGTAAACGTGAACATCAGTGATATCCAAAGCTACAAAACACACCCACAGCAAACCAGAGTGGAGAGCCCAAACCTTCTAATAAAACGATGTTCAATGTATGCATGAGTTTATTGACGTGACAGCCAAAGTAATTACCTACAACAAAATACCACTATCACAATTTGGCAGGTAGACATTAAGAGATCAACAGACCTGAAGATTTACACAAAATCTGAGAAGCTCCTTATTAAGCACATCAGAAAAGAAAAGAAAAAAAAAAGATGACTTTAAGCAATAGACAAATGTTCATTTCCAGACTGCTTAAATAAGATTTTACCACATAAAATGTTTATGCTCAGTAACACATATCCATTAAGTTGTGCCTCCAGCCGTAAGAATGACAAGCATAAAAAGATTTGTCTCCTGAAGATGACAATAACTCCTACAGAACAAAGCACCCATAAGCCCTCTGCCAGTAATAATAAATAAGGCCACTGCTAGACACAGCAAGTCAGAGAAAGTGATAAAGCTGTGTGAATACACTGTGAATCCTGTTGAAAACTGAGATTTTAGTTGAAACTCGGAGGCAAACTACAGTAACTGAAATAGAAACTGGGAAAGAGAACTAAGCTTTTGAGCAAAGCCATCGGCAATCTTTAAGGTCACATATATTTAAGACTGCTAAGTTCTTCAGCTCTTCAAAAGAACCCTCCTACCCTCCATGACCATACGGACAGTAAGCGAAGACTTCCAGTTACCAAACTACTTTCCATCACACCTCCACTATTCTTTGGGTGGCCCTTCACTCGAGCTCTGGCCAAGCCTAAACATGCTCCTGCTCATTAGATCTGACAGGACCACATCCAGCAGGACTGAAAATGAAACAAATCAGGTCACCCTTTGTAATGAACATACCGTGTTTCCAATTCCCGCTTTATTACAAGAGACTGGCACCATCTCCAGCTTGGCATTGTTGGGCAGTCTGGCAAATCTCCACTGTAAAGTGAGATCCAACACACTTCTCTGAAACCTAAAGAAAAATACAACAGGTGAAGACATCAGGAACCATCATAGACCACTGTCAGATCATTTTAGTGACCTAACACCCTCCACAGCCTCCGGGCAGGCTGTCAGCCATACAGTGTGATGACGCAGCATACCAAAAACTACGATTTGTAGAAGTCACAAATAAAATCCCCAATGCTCTGATGAGAGAAATGTCAGAGAAACATCAACCAAATCACACTGATTCAATGATAAATAACAAGGCACGCTGCTGCCAGTCAGATTGGCAAACTGCTGGCTTTCTCACTGTAAAGGCAGGCAGTCAGAACAGCAGGCAACAGAGGGGTCCTGTAGTGAACCAGAGAAAGCACATGAGGGGGACAAGCAGGGGCACGTTTTTATGGAAGGATTTCAGTATCTGCCTCAAAAGTGAATGGACTTTGACGCTGGAAAACACACTGAGATTAATGTGAAGAAAACAATTTTCTGGAGCATCACCAGAGCTGTGCTGTATGTGCTGCGCTCTCTCCCCAGTGCTAACTACGGGCCGCTTCCTGGTGTATCCCCACACAGCACCTCGCACTGCCGTGGCAACGAGTAAAACCAGATCGCGGCTCAGCGAGCAGCTCCGGGTTACGGCCTGCTCCATGCGGCCTTCCGGGCCGAGCGGGGCGGCGGCGGGAAGCCCTCGGGGCCGAGGGCGGCACGGAGCACAGCGCAGAGCCCGGAGCCGCACGCGGGCCTCGACCCGGCCGGGAGCCGAAGCGGCGCCGCCGACCCCGCGCGGGGACTCACTTCAGGCCGTACTCGGCGGGACTGCCGCCCTGCTTCCTGCACACCTCCTCGAGGATCTGCGGAGAGAACGGAGATGTCGGGACCCGGTTCCGAGCGCGGCCCCCTCGCCGCGCACCGCCCCCAACCCGGACCCACCTGGAGCAGCACCGTGCCGGGCCCCACCCGCACCGTGACCCGCCGCCCGCTGGGGGCCAACACCGACACCGCCGCGCCCCCCCCGCCCGCCGCCGCCATCTTCCCTCCCGGGGAGGAGCCGCGCTGCGCCCGCCCCGCTCCGCCCCCCGGTACGAGCGGGGCCTGCGGCGGGCGGACGGCGCTTCCTCGGCTGAGAGGACGAGCTCGAAGGAGAAGCCGGGCAGCGCGTGGCTCCGGGCTCGGCCCCTCCTGTGCCCGGCGGCACCGCCGTCCCTGCGCTCCGCGGCTCCCCGTGCGACGGCGCGGAAAAGACGACGCTGCGCCCGAACCTCTGCTCTGTCGGCAGTGCTGCGAGCTCGGCCGTTCGGTGAGATGTGTGACGGGAGGAGCGGAGCGAGCCGGTATCCGTCACTGCTTGTGTCCTCAGAGCTTCCCTGCGCTCCCAGCACCGCCTCCGTGTGCTGAACGCGCTCCCGATGTCGGCTCCTCACGGTGCTTCGGTTGCTCCTATCTTGGCTAGGGTCAGCCGCTGGAATTGCTTTAGCTGAAGCTTTTTCCCGCTGTCTCCATCCAGCTCTGTTCTGCCTGGTTTATAAAAGAAGGCGGCCCTTTTAAGGAAGGGCTGTTAAAGATAACGTTCCTCTTCTTAAGTGCAGCAAAGAAGAAATGAGACAGTGGGAAGTGAATGATGCAGGTGTCCTGTGGCTGCTGAGCGCAGCTCCCCACATCCAGCACCAGGACTGCTCCATAGACTGACAGCAGTTCAGGATGTTGCAGCATACAACATAATGTTTAAACTAATATTCAAAAATGTCTTTAATTCGTGATTTTTTGTTCTTTCCGTCCTGTTGGGAAGGCCCATTGTCACACCATGCCTACAAATGGGGCAACAGATAGCACAACGTGCCTCTATGATAAGGGAGCAATCCAAGTATCAAACACAGATCAGGGCACCCTGCCCTTTCATTGGTGAATACCTTCACAGAAGGTATGAAGAAACAATTAAAATGGCTGTGTTAATGACAGCTGCTGAGATAGAGCAACCATTAAGCTTTAAAAGATACATTTCGGTTTTCACAGAGCCTGAAAATAGTTTGTGAATGCAGGGTGGCTCTTATTTGATGTCTGAAAAAGGCAGCTGTTTCCTATTTTGCATCTGAAAGTGACACAACCCGTACAGAAAAGTTGCTCCTGTTAAAAAAGAAAAAAACCATGGATGTAATTTCAGCTGAAAATCTTCACATTGCAGGAATAGAGATGGATCAAGCTTTTAATGGCAAGTCAGAATCAGAAAGTTGCACAGAGGTTAAGAGTCATGTTACGTATCCTGAGCCGCTTCTAATCTTAAATGTTTATCTGAAATTAGAAGCACCAGGAGAGAAAGGAGGGGGAGGAAAATAAACCTGGAGCTCATTAAAGTGCAACAAAGAAAGAGGGACTCATTAGGGAACAGCTGAAAATATCTTTAACAATTCAGACTTCTGCCACTGTCAGGGTGAAGATGCCTGCAGTGCTACCAGGGAGCACAGCAAAAAACTGCTTTTCAGGAGTGATTACAGTGAAGAAAGTGTAGAAGAATCATAGAATGGCTTAGGTTAGAAGGGCCTTCAAGGATTATCAAGCTCCAACCTTCTGCCACAATCCTTCCCCACAGTCACCTTTCAGGCAGCCAGCAGTGCTTGGCATTAAAAACGTACTCCTGAAGTTGTGTATGTTTGCATTCAGTCTCACGCAGCCACATGGAATAATGCATAATTTTTATTTCTTGAAAACACACACACACAAAAAATACCCAACAACCTTTTTATTTTCTTTCAGATAGGTAAGAAATTAACTGTGAACATCTAGAAATACCTTGTAACCAAAATATCATGCAGAACAACAGTCTCTTATCCCAGTAAGGAGGATTTCTGTACAGCATTTCCTCTGGCTGAGTCCCGGGGCTCCCAGGACAGCATCACACAGAGCTCTGCACTGTAGGCATGGTCAGGATACATCATCCCACCAAAGCTCCTTTATCCTTCCCACCGCCGATGGTAGAAGAGATGGTGGTGAAGCAGTGGAACCGTGAGAAGTGGGATTTCAGCTGGTGGTGAGTGCTGCCTGGGGGGTGATTTGTATCTCCTCCACCATCACAGCTTTTTGTCAATTCAAGACTTAGGAAATGAGGTGGGGAACTTGAGCAGAGCTGTCTCATTTCTGTCTCATTTCCCATAGTACAACAAGGTTCAATGAGCTTCAACGTACTGAACTGTATTGGGACATACTGGAATGTATTACGTATGCCATTTCATTTGGAGGGGTACTAAATCAAAAAGCATCTCCCTTTATGTTACTCCCAATGGTTAAAAATCTCCTGGTGGCCTCCTACATGCCTTACTCCTACCAATAACAAATCCACACCTTCAGCTTGTGGTGCAGGTGTTTCACAGCTCTCACTGAGCCTCCTGCCATGCCAGACACAATCTGCTCAGCGCAGGGTGGCTCATATCACAGGTGAAGCTCTCACACTGACAAGCAGTACTCAGTAACTGAAATGTGTGTGCTTGGATGTTCCCCCAGACTCAATGTGTCACTGTACCAATAAACATCCACAAGGAAGCTCTTCCCTTACCCTGAGAGCCCCACGCTCTCCCAACAGCCCCTGCTCCTTGCGACAGAGGACATATGGGTGATGGAAGGATGAGTAAGAGTGCTCTGAGAAAAGCCCTGAGTTACCTGAGCAAACAGCACAGCAGGAGGGAGCCAGGTATAGGCAGGACAGGCATTCGAACCTCTTTGCTTCACCTCTTTGGACAAAAGCCCAGAGATCTGCAACATGAACACACTCCCCTTTTTGCCCTAAGGCTCCCCAGTGTCTCCAGTGAGCATGGCAGCTGGTGCAGAGCCCAGTTCCACAGCTCCCCAAAGACAGAGAACACAGAAACAGAACACGAGCCAGTCAGAGTGATGGGAGGCATCCTTTTCTCTCAGGAAGTAGGATGAGGCTCCGTGATATTACCTGTCCCATTGCTTTGCAGCTACTGGGACATGAGCTCCTGGAGCTGCTTGTGCCAACCACGCCGGCGATCCTGGAGCACGGAGGCCTCACAGAGCGATGCGTTCCAGCAGCTCCCGGCTGCTGCCCAGCCCTGCAGCCCCACAAACCCCCACAGCG